TTAATAAAAACTGAGGTTGGATCAGAAGGTCAGAAAAGCAAAATGGCCAGCCACTGGCTCTTACCTCTAACTCAGTCTAAAATGGCAAATCTGCCTCCAGGATTCATCAGAATGAGACTGTGTGAGAGAGCTGTCTCTTATATTCCTCTGTGGGGCTGGGATTAAAGGTGTGTACCACTACTCTCCAGTTTCTGTGGCAAACTAGTGTGTTTACTGGGATTAAAAGTGTGTGTCACTACTGACTGGTATGTAAGACTGACCTGTGTAGCTCTTTTAGTCTTTGATTGGTGTAGGCGGGTCTTCTTTCTATGTGTTGCTTTCATTGGTTAAATAAAGAAAACTGCCAAGACAATTGCTTGTATTGTTTGCATACCTCTGGGGCCTCGAACAATAACTCCCATACCTGGAATTGAGACTTCTATTTAATAAATTCACCTAATTTCTCCACAGCTAGATTTATGCATGTAAAATCATAATATGAGAGTATTAATTTGATAAATTATGACATTAAGATATTCCTTTCAGAATATGTAAGTCAAATATCCAGATTGGAATAATATTCATTTTGGGGTAAAGAACGCATGCTCCAGAGTACTTTTACCAAACAGACTCAAGGTCTCAGTAGAGCCCAGTGATATGGTCACATAGTCTTCAGTTTAAATTGTGTTTTCTTTTTTAAAAAAAAAGTAAAATAATTTAAAGACTGTTCTTTGCCAAATACCCCTCAAAATTTTAATTTTCATTGGCCAGGTGGTGGTAAAGAGACCATAATCATATTTTGGATTTAGTTAGGTTGAATGACTGAGTTGAACTTATTCGTGTAACCCACTGTCTTCTCATTGTACACATATATATAGTCACCAAGAATTCACAGCTTTTATATAATGGTGTTTTACATTATGTCTATTTGTTTCTTGGTTTCCTATCTGAAAGTCATGTTGGTTGGTTTATTTCCAGTCACTTTCTAGTGTTGGAATTGGTGTCTCTCCTCTTTGCTTCCAATGTTCTTTGCCACTCTTACTGCTCACTGTCACCACACTGTACACTCTGATCTGTCTAAAGAAAATCTGCCCTTTGTGTTCTTACTTTGACAGCAAAATTTTATCATTGAATGCTACCTGTTAACACAAAGATTGACAAAGGAGGGAGGGAGGGAAAAAGAGAGAGACTAGTTAACACTCAAAATACCTTGTGAGAAGGAGAATTGTGGTAGTGGAATTGAAATGTGATGTTCATAACTCTCTTGCCCCACGGTATCCATGCATGGCATAGTCTCCTCCTGTGGGCAAGACCTAGAATATAGCCTATGACACTTCTGAATCAAGTTGTATTTTATAAGAATGGCAAAGGGACTGCACAGGAAACTAAGTCTCTCATCAGTGTGGTGCATGTGGGATTTAATTCTGCGTTCAACAAAGTAAAGACTGTCTGCAAACTTGCTGGCTATTTTTTTTAATATACAGTTAAAATGTTTATTCAAATTTGTACTCTCCAATTTACTATTCATATACTAACATATCTGCAATATTCCTAGCAACATCAATCACAACTTTTTGTTGATCAGTTTGATAGCATTGTCTAGATCTCTGGAAACTATGCCGTGTTCTGTCTGATTCCTATGTCCCTGGTGCTCGATCTGAAATCTGTAAAGATGCTACAATTTCCTCACTCTAAAATATCTTATTTTCCCATTTCAGGTCATAACTATAATTTTAAAAAACTCACAAGCTTTGTACATAGAAATAACTAGACTTACTCTGCATGATGAAAAGTCCTAGAATTCACAGTAAGATGTCAGCAAAGATGGGCAAGTTCACTGCCTCTGTGAACTTGTTATTTCTCAATTGTCCTCTAGAGGACACTCCATTCTAAAAAGTAAATGGTGTATTTATAGATTAGAATAAACCCACAGAAACCTTCCTCCACCCATACCCTGCCATGTCTCCCTCCCCTTACATCCCTCATGCCCCTTTGATGCTATGCTTCCTGTTTTCTACTACCCTATGTCTTCCTCTTAAGCTCTTTCACTTGCCCTAATGGTCTGGTTCTAGTTTCCTGGCTTCTGCAGGGGAGAGGGTGACATAGAGTGTTCTGGGAGGAGGTGTAGGGGGAGTAGAATGATGGTGGATTCGATCTGAATACATTATGGTCACGTATGAAATTACTAAACAGTTATCTTTTAAACCTCTCCAGTGCTGCAGCAGAACATGCTTTATGCAGATGCCAGAGACAGACAAGGAAAGACAGCCAGTGTTTCTTTTCACTGTCTTCCCAGTGTCCCCAGGATGAAGGTGTCTAAACTTCCTTAAGCTCTGAGCAACCCCTGTCTACCTCTCTTACTCTTCAGGTTGTATTTGCTTCCTGGGATTCTCCAGGAAGGTATGAGCTGCTTTCTGCTCACCTTGGTGACCTTGATCTGTATCCTGAGGCTCAGAGTAGCTCTACTGCCCACGGTCACTGCGCTTTAGGCCCTAATCAGTAGAAAGAATACTTCTGTTTCCCTATGAACATGGCCTCTCCTTTTGCCTGAGATTTCCACACAGCACTGATGCTGCAGGAGGATGCTCAGTTGTTGTGCCAGTCTGATGCCCGCATCTGTGCATCTGCAGCTTCTGCTCTGTATCTGAGGGGCTGCTACTCATGTGTTGTCCCTCAGAGTCATTTCTTTCATGTGCAACACCCTCACCTGGGTCTCCAGAACCTTCTAAACTCCCACCAGAAAACCAGCTTGTCTCAGGCATGCGGGGGGGGGGGAGGGGGTCAGACTGAGTGCAGGAAAAATGAAAACTCTGTTTACTTGGGGATCCCTGACAATGGGTCTCAGGGAGCTGGGCATTTCTCTGCCCTGAGTCACAAGTGCAGAGCTGGACACAAACCACCTGAGAATTGCAGAATAAGAGACCAGGGTCATAGACTCAGGCACTTTCAAAGAGTTGGCATGTCCTATAAATGCAACAGTACAGAAAAAGTGGAATCTTGAGAAATGCTTCATGTGTGTGGTATAGATTTTAGTTGCTATTTATTTTTCATTTTGGAAGAAAAGATCTGTGTTCTTCCTTCAAAATTTCAATTTCAACATTCTGTAGAATTTTAACTAGGTAATAAAATATCCTTCACAGCATTGTGTTACCTGAGTCAAAATTCTACCAAATTATCCTACAGTATTAGAAGTCACTAAGTGGTCTAATGCTATTAGAGTCAATGGTGGGCTGAGATAGCATAAGGTTGATTGTGTTTTGTGGGATATTAGATTGCACTGTGTGAAAGGTGTTGTCCCTCCTTGCCTGTCTAAGGCACCTTCTAATTGGTTTAATAAAGATCTTTATGGACAATAGCTTAGGAGGATATAGGCAAGATTTCCAGGCAAAGAAAGGAACTCTGGGAAGAATCTGGAGCAGGGAATTAGCCAGTGAGAAGCAGAGAAATTTGGACATACAATATGGGTGAGGTAATGAGGTATATGGCAGAATTTAGATTAATATAAATGGGTTAACTAAAGTTTTAAGAGTTAGTGGGAATAAGCTTAAGATAAGGCCAAGCTTTCACTGAATAAGAAATGTATGTGCCATTGGGAGCTGGTGGTACAAGTAAAGCAAGGCTACTGCTGTGAGTTATTGATGAGGCAATTGCTTATTTTTCATAACTAGTCTCATTTCTCAAGCAACCATCTTTATGGTAAAAATTTTGAAATGCATTCCTCTATTTTTATGAACTCTAGTGCACTGTTCCCTGCAGTCTCCATGTGCAACAGCACAGCAGCTGCTGGCCCTGTCGCCGAGGATGGAGCACTCCTGCATTAGCTTCCCCAGCCCACTTCCTTCCTGTGTGGTCTCATTTTTAAATGACATTCAGAACAAACCGTGACTCTGCAGGAGTGTTCCAGTTGTTAAGATGCATTCCAGAACTATGAAACCATTACATTACACTGTCATCATGTTCCTGTTTTATTTTTGTTGTTGTTTGTTTTCCTTTTTCCTATTGTGGTCATTTCACTTTAGTTAATTAACAGGTGAAGATTGTTTTCAATGTGTATGATAGTCGGTCTGTGTAAATGTCTGGTACATTTAGACAGGTTCTGGGGAGAACAGAAGAAAGAATTAGGTATCCAGGAGTTGGAGTTAGAGGCAGCTGTGAGCCACCTGAAATAGGTGCTGTGGAGGGAACTAAGGCCTCCTGGAAGAACAAGGACCCTTATCTGCTGAGCCATCTCTCAGGCCCCAGTAAACAGACTTTAGTCAGAACACACATCTGTTTCCTGAGGTAAACCATTAGCTGTTGCTTCTCTGAGTGAGCCAGATCTTCTCATAGCTGAGGCTTGTTCTCCTTGTGAGGGCCTGGTCCTCTCTTGCTTCCAGGACCCCTAACTTCATACAATACCAGAGTTTTCTTAAAATGCCCCCCCACTCTATTGTAGACAGAGACTGCTTGTTCATTTCCCAGCTGCCCAGACCAGAACAATGACATGTAGATGATATGAATTACAACACTGTTTGGACAATATGTTAGACATAATTTTAACTAACTCTTACATCTTATATTAACCCATTTATATTAATCTCTGCATTGTCACTGTGCTATGGCCTACTGGTAAGGTTCTGTCTGTGGTATGGTGTCTTTCTCCTTTAGCAGCTCCATGGCATCTCGCTGACTTCACTTATTTTCTCTCCTTATCACTGTTAGCATTTTCTGCCTGGCTTTACTCTCTAAAGCCATTAACCAAAACAGCATCTTTAATAACCAATGGTCACAAAACATATTCATAGCATACAGAGGGGAATCCACATCACCCTGTGCTCCACCCAGACTCTCACCCAGCCAGGTCTGGTTTGGGAGGAGCTTCAGGTTTCATAAGCTGGGAGGGAACTCAGCAGAATCTGGTCTGGCAGGGTTACTCGGTGGAGCTGACTGGTTCCAGGAGGAGGGACACTTCAACAGCCATGATGACACCACAGCCCAGGGATTGGTTACTTGCTTCTGTCTCCAGCAGTCAGACAAACACCATGAAGAGGCTGCTGTGCTCTCTGCTAGGGCTGCTGTGCACCCGGGTTTGCTGTGAGTGTGGCTGTTCATATTCAGGGGAGAGGATGCTGTTTGGAAGATGGAGGGTGGGGAAGCAGTTCAGGAGTTCTGCAGATCTCACACTTCTCAGAGGGCTTGGGGAGTGTTCAGTGTTCTGTGGATGCTCAATGACTCTCATCTGTGTCTCTTTCTCGGTTTCTGATCAGGGGTGAAAGGGCAACAAGTGAAGCAGAGTCCTGTGTCCTTGGTTCTGCAGGAGGGAGAGAGCACAGAGCTGCAGTGCAACTTTTCCACCTCTGTAAGACAAGTGCAGTGGTTTCACCAAAGTCCTGGGGGACACCTCATCAGCCTGTTCTTCAATCCTTCCGGAACAAAGCAGAGTGGAAGACTGAAGTCCACAACAGTCACTCAGGAACGCCGCAGCTCTTTGTACATTTCCTCCTCTCAGAGCACAGACTCAGGCACTTATTTCTGTGCTGTGGATCCACAGTGCTCCCCACACACCTGCAGCCAGCACACAAACCTTCAGCTGGGTAGGTGTGGCCCAAGAAGAACAACTGCCTTGTTTAGTATTTCTTGTCAGTATTGGTAGAGTTGTAACCTCAGGTAGGGTTTTGGCCTCAAAGGTTCAGGACTTTGGCTTTATCTTCAGTTCTCAATAAATACTCCACCCTAAAGCATGAATGTTCATCTTAGAACTAACAGAGAAGCTAATTGGAGGGCAAAATCAATGTGATTATTTAAGCCTTATTGTGATGAACTCGCAACAGATAAAGCAAAAAGGAAATGAAAGGCAAAGGCAGGCTTCCAGGTAGACAGGGTCAGGGGTAGTGAAGAGAACACACACTGCAGAAATAGCAAGAACATCAAGCCATGAAAGATACAGAATTTGCAATAACTGTATAATATAGTTTCTTTTATGTTGCTGTGATAACACTCTCTGAAAAAAAGCAACTTAGAAGGTCCAGAGATTTACTTAGCCACTTCCAAGTCATAGTCCATCGTTGGTGGTAATCAAGTCAGGAACTTACAAAGGAGATTCAAATACAAATCATAGACTCATAATCAAGAAGTTTTCTTACATGACCCAGAAACACTTTTCCACAGAAGGCTGACACCCAACAGTTATACAGTATCCATTTAATACATAAATTTTAAAAATTTGGTTGAGTTTTAATGTTAACTTATTGAATTTATAGAAGAATTTTGGGAATCTTGAAGGATTTAATCTTCTAAATCATTATTTAGAATTACTCATTTATATATTTAACTATGCTCATAACTGCTTTGAAGTTTTCTAGATGGAGATCTGAATGTCATTAAAAAGTAAGAAAACAGCAATTATGAGAAACTACTCAACATATATCATGTTCAAATAGCTTTAAATAGAATATCTTAAAACCTCTTATAACTCAAAGAGAATGAGTGACTCATCCTAAAATGAATCGAGTGAGCACATGCTGTGCAAAGGAATGTGTATGTGGTAGTGAAAAAATGATTAGAATGGAGTTAAAGATTGTGTTGGGTTAGTAATTAGTGGTTGTAGGTTCCCCTCCAAGATCCATGGGTTTTCTACAGATGGAGGCCACTGTAGAAAGCACAGCAATCAAGGTCTGGTTCCTATAACTATGTCTATAATATAATTCTTGTACACACAGTTCAGGAAATACTGAAGAAGAGGGGGAGGAAAGATGATAATAACCAGAGGGTCAGGAATTTGCTGTAAATTGTATCTCCTAAGAATCTATGCACATGAAGAGTCACCAACATGACTCTCTAAACATGAGCTGAAAAAGATCAACAATGACATGTTAAGGTTCATGCGGAAAGAGCACAAAGCATCAATCCTAGCTCACGAGCTACTGTTAGCCAGGGAATTCTGATAGTTGGAGACATAGTTTTTCCCAGAGAAGATTATATCAACTGGTTATCCAATACAGACGAGTCAGTCTTGAAGCAATACTTACAATCAACAATGTACAACTGAGAGGTGACACTTACATATTTAGGAATAAATATGTTTTATATATACATGTGTAGCAGCAATTAAAGAAAGAAATGGTGATAAAGATTCAATAGAACAAGGAGGGAATTATAGAAAATTTAGAAGGATGGATTGATATGATTATATTATAATATCAAAAATAAAAGAAATGATAAAAAATGACTGAAAGAAAAATAAAGTTTTGGTTTAATTATCATCATGTGAACAATCAGTCTCTGTAAGGGGACAATAAAATAAAAATCAAATGAAATCCAGACATTTTGTTATTATATAACAATAACATTCTAATATTAAAATAAAAATAAATTTGCATTCCCACCAGCAATGGATGAGGGTACCCCTTTCTCCACAACCTCTCCAGCAAAGGATATCATTGGTGTTTTTGATTTTAGCCATTCTGACCGGTGTAAGATGATATCTCAAAGTTGTTTTGATTTGCATTTCCCTGATCGCTAAGGAGGTTGAGCATAACCTTAAGTGTCTTTTAGCCATTTGAATTTCTTCTGTTGAGAATTCTCTGTTCAGGTCAGTGCCCCATTTTTTAATTGGGTTAATTAGCATTTTAACGTCTAGCTTCTTGAGTTCTCTATATATTTTGGAGATCAGACCTTTGTCTGTTACGGGGGTGGTGAAGATCTTCTCCCAGTCAGTGGGTTGCCTTTGTGAAAAAAAAAAAAAAAAAAAAAAAAAAAGAAAGAAAGATCCCGTCTTGTACATTTATCACCTCCTGGAGGACTACCTTGAAGGGAACCTCTAAATTAAGCCAGGCTCTGAGGAGGAGTTTAGTGCAGAGATCCCAGAAGAGGTACAGACCATGATGACCTGTTACTACATTATATACGAGAAAGATCCAATCCTGTACCTTTACCAACATAAGGATGACTACATGGAAGGCAACCTCAATATCATGCCAGAATGTCCTCCAGTAGAGGTGACTTTGGAATTAGGCAGCAATTCCTTGCCAGGCAAAGTGTGCAATAAAACAAAAAGGATGGATCCGAAGGGAGAGGTAAATTTATTTACCAAGTTCCCACCAAACCATCCATGTATTTCATCAAGTGATAATGACTTCCATATCTATGTCTATGATTTGGTGAAGATCTGTTAACGTGAAATTCTCAAATTTTGAGGGACAGACTTAAACCTCTGAGGAATTTTTTTTTGCTGCGATACTTCAGGTCATCTACTAATCATGGTATCTTTTCCAATGGAATATCCTTGTTCTGAAAATAAAAATTTGTGAATAAAAAAAATAAAATAAAATTTTATTGTAAATAGCAAGCATTATAATCTCATTTTTGTCTTATGAATGACTCTTCTCATTCTCCAGAATGAAGTAGTTTAGGCACAATAGAAATATAGGGAATCATGAAGATTCATGGTGAAAGGACTGGAAAGGGAAGGAGAGAAAATTAAGTTATAGCTGACCTCAACATAGGTACAATTACTTTCCATCTCAAAAATGTTGGCAGCAGAGAAAGATTCTATGCCTTTCTTTCTTCAAAGAGTGGGCTTCTAAGCTCAGGACACTGTTGAGTGTGAAGACCTTATTTGTTCACAGAGGGGCAGTGCTGCTTCAGCGAAGGTGATGGTGAGACTCTTCCACAAACTCCTTGATAGACTCTTTGTTCAAATAAATAAATTATGTCCTTTGTTTCCTAAGTTTCATTACAGAGCAAATGCATGTATCTGTCTTGCCATTTTTCTGTATTATATATGCTGTTTATATATGCTGGGCCCATAGAGTTGACAAATAGGATTGTTTTTAATTACAACTCTGCTTGGCCAATCACTTAAGCATATTGCTAGCTAGCTCTAATATCTTAAATTAACACATTCCTACAATTTTATGTTTTACTACGAGGCTCGTGGTTTACTGGTAAGGTTTCCTGGGCTCTGTTTCCATGGGCGGCTATATGGCATCTCCCTTACTTTGCCTTCTTCCCTCCTCTATTTGCTTGGAATTTTCACTTTGCCCTATTCTGTGCTGCTATAGGCCCCCAATAGATTATTAACTAATGATAATAAAACATAATACAGCACACAGAGAAGAATCCTACATCAGGATCTCATGTTATATTTTTCCTTTTGTGTTGATTTTTATTGAGCTCCCCATTTTTCTCTGCTCCCCTCCCTGCCCCTCTCCTCCTATTCAACCCTCTCCCAAGGTCACATAGGAATTTACAAGTGAAAACTATGAAGATACACACTATCCTTGAAAGCCCGAGGCACATTAACTTCTCTAATGTACATTTCTGTGGTTGTCAGCAACACTTGGCTCAGTATCCAGTCACACTGATATAACTTGTGCCTAAGATTATGTTAAGTGTTCTGTCCACTTCTACTCATGGTTTGAAGCCAGTTAAATCTTTTCCCTCATCAGGACATTCTCTGACTCTAACAGGAAGTGGTGTCTACATTCTCTCCTTCATTATCTTGTCTATATACACAGCTGACATTGGGAGGTTTTTAGTTTTCTGTTCTTGAATGCTGATTTGCAGAATGAAGATTAGAGCAGCGTGTGTCAGGAAAGACACCCAAGCACTGCCCACACAACAGGCAGATAGAACCTCAACAAATGAACAAAACTTCTCATCTTTTTGAACTTTTTCAGTTTTTAATCATTTGATATTTTATATATTCTAATATCAAATAAAGATTTCAGAAACAAGAAGCCCATTTATTTTAAACCACCCTTTTGCTTCCTGGTAGTCTCACTGCTGTCCTTGCCACTGCTCTGTTCTCACTGAGCAGCCATCTGTGTCCTCAGAATGACTCTTCGGGTATCATAGTGCTGTGAGGTCCTGCTATTAAGATATGCAAAGAGAAGGCAATGTACAGCATGATTAATGTGAACTCAGAGACAGATGTTGGTGTTCAACCTGAAAGTCAGAAACACAAAACAGCCAGCCACGGGGTCTTACCTCTATCTCAGTCTAAAATGGTGATCCTGCCTCCAGGAATCTCAGAATGAGACTGCGTGTACAAACTGCCTATTTCTGTCTTATTAAAGGTGTGCACCATTACTACCCAGTTTCTGTGGCAAACTAGTGTGGCTTCTGCGATTAAAGGTGTGTGTCTGGTTCGTAAGGCTGACCAGCATGGCTGTTTTACTCTCTGATCTCAGGCAAGCTTTATTTATTAAACTACAAATGAAACATCACTAGCCAGGTGGCACACACTTTTAATCCCAGCACTCGGGAGGCAGAGGCAGGCAGATCTCTGTGAGTTTGAGACCAGCCTGGTCTACAGAGCTAGTTCCAGGACAGGCTCCAAAGCCACAGAGAAACCCTTTCTCGAAAAAAAAAAAAAGAAAAGAAACATCACTAAACATATGCTTCATTTTAGTGAAATGGTTAAAGCTTTCAGGGGTGCATACATATGTACAGAAGAAAATATAGTGCGTGGGTCTGAATAAAGACGGTTAATAAAGACTCAGGGACAGATATTGCGGTTCAACCTAAAGACCTGTAAAGGAAATCAGCCAACCACTTGCTCTTACCTTGACCTCAGTCTGAAATGGCAATCCTGCCTCTGGGAATCTCAGAATGAGACTGTTTCTGAGAGCTGTCTCCTCCTCCCTTTTTATAATCCTCTCTAAGACTAGGATTAAATGTGTGCACCACTGAGATTAAAGGCATTCACTGCCTGGTTTCTAGGGAAACTAGTGTGGCTACTAGGGTTAAAGATGTGTTTTACCAATGAAGATGTCTTAACTGCTTCACAAGTCTGCCTGTTCTCCAAACAGACAGTGTTTATAAGCATTCACAGTTGACAGTAAGGAAATGGACTAGAAGCAGGGGGTGCTGGCAGCATCCACTGGAAGTTGTTGGGAAATACATTTTCAGGGGTATTACTTTTGTTCATTCTGCATTTGTTAACACTGTGGTGCTGTGATTATTTACCTGTCTACAACACCTGATGGTCCTAATAAATATATGAATGGCCAATAGCAAGCTCAGAGCAAGGATAGGCAGGGCTGACAGGCAGAGAGTATAAACAGAAGGAGAAATCTCCCAGGAGGAGAATGAGGAACAATGAGATATCAAGGAGAGGAGAAGGCTAGGGTCAGCCATGTAGCCAACCACAGAAAAGAAGGAAAGTAAAATATACAGAAGGAAGAGAAAGGTAAAGGCTCAGAGGAAAGTGGTAGACGGGATAATTTACATTAAGAAAAGTTGGCAAGAAACAAGCCAAGATAAGGCTGGGCATTCATAATTAAGAATAATCCTCTGTGTGTCATTGATTTGGAAGCTGGGTGGTAGACCGCACAAAAAGCCAAAAGAGTAAAACATCACACAATAGACGGAGAAAAGATGGGTTTATTGAAATGTTTGACTATTTTGTCAGTAATTAAGTTAGATGCTCTGGGAGTGAGTGGAATGGATGGTGCCATTTTCAAAATCAACTGACTTCCGAGACCTTTCCTGAGAGTATCTATGTGAATTTGTGATTCCAGGCCAACTTCTCTGGAAGAAAAAATGCATGGATACAAAAAAAAAAAAAAAACCACAACCATATCTGTATTGTAGACAATAGCTCACTGAAATAGGACATTTTCCTCTTGAAACTTTTGAAACTTGAAGCCCATGAGAGACAGGAAAAGTTCTTTATCCAAGTGACAAAGCTGCCAAGGATAAATACTACACTAAGTATCCATATCTGAGGAAAGTAAGAGTTGTTTGGTGAGTGATTTACATATTCTGGGATATGTGAGTAGATTAGTGAATCCAGATCTAGACAAGAGAAATGTTATATACACACAATACACCTTTACATAAGAATGTATCACATATATACATTTATAGAAGAAATCATCATTTGTATATGATTATCTATATATAAAATATACATGTTAGGTATAGGTATAAGAAACAGAAATAGGATTACTAGTGTGTACAAATACCATTTTTGATATCTCAGCACCAGGACCCACTTGATATGACACATTGCTGTTTTATGTGTCTGAGTCCCTCACAGGTCAGAGAATACTTAAGCAGAGGCCTCACTGGTTAAGGATGCAACCACCAGGTGGTAGTAGATCTCATCTGCTGTGGGGTGTGCAGAGGAATTACTTCCTTGTATACTGATTGTGGAGGATTAGGGCAGAAGCACAGTCTTTTTTTTTTTTTTTTTCAGTGACTGAGTAGGTTTCTCAAAAGCTATAATTGTTCCTGAGAAAGAGCAACACCCTGATACTGTAGCTGACCTGCTTGTCATCATGATCTACTCTGGAAGAACAATGAAGACACATATTCTTACTTTATTTATGTTTCTGTAGCTGCAGCTGGGGGGTGAGTTAAGATTTTAGGGACACAGAAAACTCAGTGGGCATTTCTGAGACACCCAGGAAGAACTCTATTTCATTAGGTTTTCTCTAGTTACTATAAAAAAGGAGAATCCTGAAGTAATAATCTAATATTCATTCATTCTTTCCTTCTTTCTGCATAGAGGTCAGCCACGTCAAGAAAGTGGAAGCGCATCTTCCCACCCTGAGAGTGCAGGAGGGAGCCGGTGCTGTCATCGCCTGCACATATGCACATATGGCTCGTCCTACTTCCCTTGGTATGAGCAAAAACCTGGAAAGCATCCTAAGCTCACTACTGATATTCATTCAAATATGGAAAGAAAGTTGGATCAAAAATTGATAGTTTCCTGGATAAGAAAGCCAAACATTTTTCCTTGCACATCACAGACATCCAGCCTGGAGACTCTGCATGTACTTCAGTGCTGCAAGTGCACCCTGCTCCTGCAGTCTCTCTTCAAACTTTCCAGGAGGTCTGAAACCCCTTCCACTTCCTGTGGCACAGGCCTTCCAGTGCAGCATTTGTCAGTTGTTAGTTTGCAAGTACCAACTGTAGCGTAGACATTAAAAACACAAAATAAGAACATTTGCCTCAAGTCACTGGAAATCATTTTGGACAATTTTCTCCTTCCTTCATTTAAAAAAAAAAAATAAAAAAAAAAAAAAAAAATTATAAAAAACTATCACTGGTTGCAGCACCTGGTGATTCTCACAGAGAACCAGAGCTCACTGTTCTGTAGAGATGAAGAGACTACAAAACATTCAGTCCCAAGTGGGACATCTCCATCATAGACCCTTCTCCAAAGGTCAGAGTTCACTGAGACAGAGGGTGCCGAGAGAATGTCAAAGCCACAGGTGGGGATGGCTACAAGGAGACAGTGTTTTCTGGATACAGCAGGGCAGCTGCACACATGAACTCACAGAAGTCTACAGCACACATAGACTTGCAAAGGATCAGATCAGACAGAGTTCCACCAAGAATAGGGAAGGTGGACATTCTCACCCTTAACTAAGGAACTATGTGCAGTTGGTAGCTAATGGAAGAAGGATTCAGGTTTATTTATTAATGCAGCCCCAGGTACATAGAGTACCCTCCACTGAAGGCCACACATCTAAGAGTATATGCATTGTACAAACTGTAATGCACACCTGGATGAATTTTATTTTATTTGATGGCAGGGAACACAAAACTGGGTTAGTAAGGAAGAGTGAATGGATCTGGCAGGATTGAAGGGAGCAGGTAAGTATAATCAAAACTAATTGCAGAACATTCTCTAAGAACTAATAAAATGAAGGAAAGTAGGTAAGCTTTAGCAGAGGTTTTCTGCATTTGTGTGTGTGTGTTATTTAATTTATGTTCATCACACTAAATCCTACAGATGCACACAATGTAGTAACATTGGTAATTTCAGGTATCTACTGGGAGCATGAGACCTGACTCCTTTGTCTGAGTTCTCAAGTTTATTCACAATGTGTTGTGCAGACATCTGTGGTGCAAGTTGAAGGAAAACCAGCAGAGGGCACCGTCTCTTCAGATGTGGTTAAAGTGTACATGCAGATGGCAGCTTCATGTGACAGACAGTCACTGTACAGAGGGAAGTCCTCCTTTATAAGACGGGAGCTTCAATAAAGTACTGAGAACACTTGCACTGTGAGTTTGATGCACTCACGAACCATGTCATTTTTTTCTCTGAACATGCTTCCTGACACCTACTCAGCTCTACTGCTCCTGTTAGCGCTCAGTAAGTTAAATTACCTTAAGTGTTGATGATGTCATTTTCTTGCGGCTATGGAAGTCTTTCCCCCTTCCTCACACAGCAAAATGATTTCTCCATATTTATGTATTTACTATTTATTTTCAGGCAGGAGCCATGGAGACTCAGTGACCCAGACAAACGGCCTGGTTACCATCACAGAGGGGTTCCCTGTATTGCTGAACTGCACTTACCAAACTATTTACTCAGATCCTTACCTTTGGTGGTACGTGCAATACACCAACAGAGCCCCTCAGCTACTTTTGAGGAGCACCACGGACAACAAGAGGACAGAGCACCAAGGGTTCCACGCCACTCTCCATAAAAGCAACAGCTCCTTCCACCTGCAGAAGTTCTCGGTACAGCTGTCAGACTCTGCCCTGTACTACTGTGCTCTGAGAGACACAGTGAGGGAGACTGCAGGGGAAGCTGCACACAAACCAAGGGGGCAGGAAGGCAGAGGGGAGTGGACCTGTGAGGGAGGGCTGTGTGCCTTCCCTAAGTGGGGTTTACTCAGCTTCCTGAAATACAACATCAAATTTTAGATTATATCCCTAGAAATCTAAGAATGTGTAGATATCCTGACAGGATAGGATGAAAATCATTGCTAGAGACAACAAGGACTTTTATTCTGAACTGAATATTAGCAATATTAACTGAAATACTATTCTCTCTCTAAGTGGAGGACCTCTCACAGAGAACATTTCCAGGAAAATCCTGACAGGGGATTTATCTCTACCAAGTTGTCTAATACAATTTAGTGATTTAATTTCTTCAGAATCATCTTTTGTTGATTCACAAATTTATGACCCAAATGAGGACATAGACTCCAGTCTTTAAAAATCTGCTTCAGTCCCATTCCACAAGTAATTTAGATTCTTTCTCTCCTTGGTCCCTGTAACAGGAAGTTCAGCCTAACTTCTTGCCTCAGTTACTGTTCTATTGTTGTAAAGGTACACCATGACCAAGACAACTTAAAGAAGAAACATTTAATTGGGGGCTTAACTAAAGTTTCAGAGGATGTATCTATGACCATCATAATGGGGAACATAGTAGCACACAGGCAGGTTCCAGGAGCCTTGACTACCAGCCTCAGCATCCCCTCAGGGATCAGAATAGAGGGTCTATGGCAAGCGAGGATCTGAGGGTAAAAAAATTAACTCAAGCATATTACCTCTGCATGTTCTTTATTTTTTGGGCAAGGGAAAATTGAAGTGAAGGGCATTCTCCATGAGGTTTTTAGCTTTTATAGTCAAAGCTGAAAATTCCATAGGCAAAGACAATGATAATATGTATATCAAAATCACAAAAATGCAGGTAGAACCTGACCAGGCAGCACTCTGGAACAGGTGACAGCACCCAGGAAAGAACCAGAATTCAAAGGGAAATGCCTGACATCCCAAACCATTAGATATAGTTAGTAAACAACCCTGTATACTGGACTCACCTATTCTCCTTATCCAATCTCTTTTGTGACAACAAGCTTCGGGGACACCCAGATTTGATTGTTAGCAAAGGTGGGACATGCTACCTTGCTACTCTGTGCCTGTCTTCTTTTAGTTATTTCTATGCAGTCTGTTAGCAGGTAATTTTGTAAGATTGATTCTATGTAAATTTGACCATTAGAACAAAGATTCAATGTTATTAGTCTAATACATTGTGGTGTGGGGAAGTGGAAAGGTCACTCAGTTGCCCAAAGCAGAAGTTACACTGCTGTGGTGCTTTGGGAATGAATTCCATTTTGAAGGGAGAATCATAGCCTCATAAGTTTTTATGCAGATATGACAGTGACTTTTTCAAAAGTCAAGTGTTTCCATAGCTCTGAAAAACAGTTCATTCCATGTGGATGTGTACACATACATTTCCTGTGTATCTGCCTATTGGTCTATTAGCTATACATTTACCCTATGGTCTTATGGGCTCCAGCAGGTGGGCATGTCCTGGAGAAGTAACTGAGATCTTACATCTGATTGCCAGGAAGGGCAATGAGAAGTAGAGCCTGGATGTTAGTTGGGCTTTGAGATTCAAAATTCCAACACCATTGTGACTTAGCTCCTCTGACCAGGTCATGCCTCCTGACCTTCCTAAATAGTTCACCAACTAGGAAAAAGTAATACTCAGATATATGAGCATATGAGGGCCTTTCTCATTCAAATCACCACACCCCTCAACAGCTTTCACTCAGTGAAACTGCTCAGGAAATATAGCAGGCAGAACTCTGAACATGCTGCCATGTGAGGCAGCCCCTCCCCTTTCCTACACACTGTGTATGAAGCAGGCTGTCATGAAAGATCTTTCCAGAAAGCCCTCTCCCTTAATATCCACTCTCATAGGTGTTATGGTTTTGACACCAATGTAATGGTTTTAGTAAAATGGTGCAGTTCCCTGAGGGGCACAGCAGGCCATGAGGGGCAGCAGGTTCCAGGCAGGGAGCCTCATAGCATGTGAGAGACCTCAGTGGATTATCTGGTCCCACAAGGAGCCACAGTGGATGAGAGACAAAGATGAATAGGCATGCCATGAAGTGTTAAGTTTGGATATAGTTTATTCAGTTAAAGGGAAAGGAGAGGAGAGGAGCCATGGCAGCAGCCACCTCTTCCAAAGAGAGGTGGGGTGGAGAGAGAGAGTTCACAGGCAGGAAGCAGAAGGAAGATCCACTTGCCTCAGTAAAGGGGGGAGTGGGCAAGGCTTGTCTCTTAAAGGGACAGGACAAATCAGTAGCAGGTAATAACAACAGGCCTTCAGTTTGCTTAAATCCTGAGGCCATGGTGTAGTCACTCACCTGGGACTAAGGTTAGGTTCTGTGATAATTCTTCTGCAATGTGTAAAGGAAGCCAAGGTTTTGATCATTCTCAAATTTAAAACAAAATATTACTTTAAATTAAAATGCTCTATTAGTCATAGTATCTCTCTGTAAAGGAAGAAAGGCTTGAAATAAAGACCATGGTGTTCCTCAAGAAATATTCATGTTTGTGTTCACAAAATACAGCAAAGTAGTATATGCTATCTTAATGGTGAGGGAGCAAAATTGAATGTGAAACATAAGTTAGAGCTAATAATCCAAGCAGTAATTTAATTAATACAGCTTCTGTGTGGTTATTTTATGTCTGAGCTACTGGAAGGCCTGGAAACAAACAAGTGACCTCCTCCAACAAATCGCCACCCAATGTGGTCAACTATAGCTACATTAAACCTGAAAAAGCTTACAAAGGAATCCTAGACACAAAATAACAGTTAAGCATGGTTTGGTAGTGGAATATTCTTGGGTGGGCTCTGTTTGCTGAAAGCAAGCAGAGGCTTGGCTCCTTTAAGAGAGGTTTTCCTGACTCAGCAGTAGCAGGAAAAAAGCTTCTTTGTTTTTAAATGCTGGCTTTCTGGGCTGTGCTGCTAGTGCAAACTCTGGCTCTGTCAGTAGGTTGAGCATTTAAATGGGGTTTGTGAGCAATATGATATAATTTGTTTAATGGCAACATAGACCTACTGTGTGACTAAAAGTGGGGCAATGTGTATGGCTCTCAGAAGCAGTAAACTGCTCCACCATGCTGGACTGGGAGAGGCAAGCATGCAGTGCCATATATACCCTAGCCATGCTGCAGCTTAGATTGTTAAGAGGTGCCTCTGGTCAGATAATTACAGATATGCAATAAAGGCAAATCCAGATTTTAAAAAGGCCTCTAAAAAGGTCACAGTGTGTTTAAAAATGTATATAGGCTTGGGAGAGAGAAGAAAAAGCATAGAGAGTTATAAAAAGAAGTAAAAGGTTTATCAAAATATAAAACAAAGTCATTAAAGAGACAGAGTACAGACAGTCATAGATTAAAAGGAATAAAGAAAAATAAGCCATGTAAAAATGAAAAATCCACAGAGAGTCTGGAATATGTATATTATTGTGTTTTCTTTGAAGTTTTTGACTGCAGAGACATTTGATTCTGAGCATTGCTAAGCTAAACAAATACATATACTTTAAAGGTAACTTGATTTCAAAATATGAATCTAAGGATATATTACTTTGGAAAAGAGGTTCTTCTTTTGTTTCCACAGAGGATGAAAACTTGTGGTATACTTCCAGACTAATGTGCTTTGATGGACCAAGACCACCTGAATTGTTGTTGCGTACTCCCCCCTCCTCCCCGGAATTACTTCACCAAACTGCTGACTGAGATAAAGATAGCACACAGGATACACTGTGAAAGACCTCGTTAACAGTGCCCCCAATCAGCTAGAAGTAGCTTAAAGATCTGTGCCCATATTTCCAAATATTGTTTATAAATATTTGTTTACATTTGAAGGGGAACATGCTATTGATATAAATAATTTGCATTGGTATGGATCTTGGTTTATTGATACAAATTTAAGATCAATTTTGTTTTTGTATATTTCTGCTACTGATTAATGTATTATGTTTGTGAAGCTCATTTAGAAATGTAATATATAATTACAAAATATGGGTTAATAAATAGTCATCTATAATAGTCAAGCGTCTAGTCATGTTAGTTAGATTTTTCTAGATGGACAGATATGTATTTCAGATGGATAGACTTTCATCAAACCTCTCAATGACTACAGAATACGGCATTTAAAACGTTTTAGGAACTTTGGACTTTTCATGACAGTGAGACACATCTGCTCCAGGCAGCACCAGGCTACTTCAAGAGGAAGATAGGTATCAAAGAGGTTCCTCATGGAGTTTGTTAGCCATTTGCAAAAGAAACTACTCTTGCTTGGACTGCTTGAAGGTATGCTGTGTGAACTGAACATGCAGCTACTCATCCCTTGTTCCCCAGTGTCCTTTTCTTCATGTGTAACACCCTCCCCTGGGACTCTAGCCCCTCCTGAAGCTCACACCAGGAAGCCAGCCTGTCTCAGGCATGGAAGACTATCAGAATGAGTGCAGGAAGGATGAACACTCCTTCCACCTAAGGGTCCTCTGGCAATAGTACTGTGTTCCTCTGCCCTGAGTCACAAGTGCAGAGCTGGACACAAACCAACCTGAGACTTGCAGAGTAAGGGACCGGGGTCCCAGCCTCAGACAACCTCAGTGAAAGCAAGAGCACAGAGAAAGTGGACTCCTGGGACGCTTTCATTCTTATGAGCTTCTTTGTTGCCATTTACTGTTTTCTCATTTTGCAAAGAAAAGGTTTGATTTTCCCTCAGTAGAATTTTGACTAAGGTTTAAAAAAAAAACAAACAACTACAAAACAACAACAAAAAGAAAACTTTTTTTTCCACAGTAGAAATTTTACCCAAACTATCCCACAAGATTGGAAGACACTGGTTACTCTACAACTGTTTGAGACTCTGATGGACTGAGATGGCCTGAGGTTAGTTCTGAGTTATATTCAAGGTGATCGTGTGTCACCATTTTATTTCTAGTCTCATTTCTCAAGCCATCAACTTTATAGTGAAA